TTGCATAACAGAGTCAGCACTAGTAGTCACTCTTCGGTTACATAAACGCAAATATAGTCTATTTTGCAATAACTTTGTGGTAATAATGTTTGTTCAAAGCAAAGGTGAGCACTCGGTCTGACTATTAAATCGACATTAATTTTTGTATAATAAATGCTTTTAAAAAATAATATTTAATTCATGAGAAAAGAAAAATGGATATATTTTTTGAATAAATCGTTTAATGAATAATTTTCATAAATTTTTGTAACAAATATTCAATTAAATGATGGGATTCTCAGGCATAGAGAAAGTGCTGTCACTGCAAGAAGAAGAGTTGAAATTCTTGGATAACGTCCGCAACTGTATAAACATACGGATCCGATGCGATCGCGATTACGCCTCGTCTTTGCTTATGGTCGCCGTTTGCGGACAGAAGTGTCATTTCAATGACAACATCGGCAACACTAATATCGGGACCGTTTGGCGAACCATTGCCGATGAGACACACGAGTTGAGCAAATTGATGGCCAATAGTGCCGATGAGTTGACACACGAAGTGCTGGAACTCATCGATGAATTAGTGTCCGAGAAGAAGGCTCTGAGGAAGTCATTAATTGACGAATACAATAGATATTGCAGTCAATTAGATAACGTCAGTCTTATATTCAATTATTTTTTATTAACCGTTTTTATGCATAAATGTCTAATTAACGCAAATATTGAGTTTTACTCTCGTTTTTAACACATCTTATATTTTAATCTAATTTATTTTTCTCTGAAATATATGATAATATTTGAGTTCTCGTTTCACTTTCAGATCATTTAATTTATTTATATTTGTTTTACATCACAAATAATCATTTCCTGGAATTTTGCCTAAAAAACTATGTTTTGGCTCAAAATGCTATCGTTGACTAAATTACAGAAAGTCTCTCTCTCTCTCTCTCTCTCTCTCTCTCTCTCTCTCTCTCTCTCTCTCTCTCCCTCCCTCTCTCCTAACNCTCTCTCTCTCTCTCTCTCTCTCTCTCTCTCTCTCCCTCCCTCTCTCCTAACATTTATAACACTCACTCTTTCGTTGAGATTAACTGAAACCGGGATTAAAAAATCAAGTATTAATAAATTGAGTAAAGGATAAACAGCTGGAGTGCTATTGAAATGATTGTTAACAAGTGATATAAAAAGTAAAACACGGGTTATGTTCAGGAAGTTTATTTCTCACACACTTTGCCATTCATTCATTGTTTCTATTTATTTAATCCCATTTTCGAGTACTTATTGAAAAAGTTTTTTTTCAAAAAGATTCACAAATTTTACACAATAATGAAATTTATTACATTTTAATTGCAAAATCTTTTGCACACAAATAAAATAGTTATTAAAGTCGTGTCAAAGGATTCAATCGGAATACGAGAAATGTTTGACGAATTACAAGAGCACTAAAACTAAATACGAAGACATTTGGCTTCGTTTGCCTAAAAAGACTGAACACAACGCAAACATCAATTCAAAGATTGAAAAACAATTCATTGATATTAAGAGAAAATATGAGAAATTATGCCAAAGACTGCATGTTTTGCACAACGATTACTGTTTGGTCACAACAGAAGCCAAACAATACGAAAACGATTTTAGATTACTATTAATTCCGGCACTTATTTCATACCACGAATCCATTCTTATGGACTCAGGTATGCATTGATAGACACTCTTTGAGTCTATATATTGTATGTCTTGTGTCCTAACATTAGGCGACAAATGGAATAATATTTTAATAAAATTTGTGGAGAAAACAGATATAACACAAGAAAAGTATAGACGACTACAGAATAAATTGAAAGTTAGTGTTAAAAATATTAGTTCCAATATCTACGGGAATCTGAAGGGAAAGTTGACAAAACCGATGCCACCGCACGTCGCCATTGGATTCAATGATAAACTGCTCGACGATTTTGTTGGCGCTCTTAAGCCAAACCAATTAATTATTGATACGTTTACTATTAATTCACTAAAACAAAGGTTTTATTAATAATTTTTTGTGAAATATTTAATATAAAATATATTTATATTCAATTTGTAGAGAAAGTGAATTACAACACAAACTAACAATAAGTCAGTTAGAAATCCGAGACAAACGTAATCTTCAGAAACAATACGAACAGGAAATGAGAACTCTATTGCCGTTGAGTGAAGACAACGAGAACGCAAAGATGGGCATTAAAATCAGAAAGAGAGCCATCGATATCGTTAAGAAGGATCTGCTATTCATTGAAACCCAACACGAGAGGACACACCAATTGTGGGAAAGGGTTGACGTCTCTCTCACTAAGATATCGGGCCTTCAAGTGCCCAATGGTCTCGAACTCAATCTCACGACACCTCATAAGACCAATAGTAATACAACAGTTCAGGCAATAGTAAATTCAATGGAAAACAGATCAATGACTAGCGTATCGACCACTCAGGACACCACAAAGTCGTACTCATCCCTGTCTAACACCATGTCTTGGGGCCGCACTTTCTTGACGAGACTCAAGAGGCAAAAGATGTCGGGTTCGGTGTCGACGCTGACAAGTGTGCCCTCGACTACCATTTCTCACAATTTGGCCCAAAGACGAGAAAAGGATGAGACGATTGAATTGTGTGACGAGGAATGGTTTCACGGAAGTCTTCCCAGAAGTGAAAGCAATAAATTACTCTTAAAAATGGGAGACTTTATGGTTAGGGAGAGTCTGAATAATGGACAGCCCTGTTATGTGGTGTCCGTATTATGGAATGGATTTCGGCACTTCATTATTAGCACCGATTCTCAGGTCAGTAATGATGTGGTATTTTGTGTCTTCCACTAGTATTTGTGTTAAATAAATAAATAAATAACTCTTTAGATGTATATCAATATATGATATGATATTTAAACCGTTTCTACTTAACGGTTGAGTTAAGATCAAAAGTAAAAACCTTTCGGAAAATTATAGTTAACGCAAAAGACACACAAAAAACAAGTTTTACGCCAAATAAGTATAAATATTAATGAATTTTTATTCGTCTCTCACTTTCACTTTTTTTTATCTGTAAATATAATTTAGTTTTTTTGTTTTTGAAAGATTTATTATACCTTCACTTATAATGTATTTAATAAATTCAAAAGAAAACAAATATTCTCTTAATTATAAGACATAAGACCGGAAAGAATTTATACCGCATTTTATGACATTAAAAAACAAGTACTGAGTGTTGGGTTACATCT